TGAGTATACTGATTTTGTTATTAAAAAATAAATAAAAAAAAAGAAAACATAAGATGGTTTCTTCATGTTTTCATAGCCAGTTCCAAACACTCAGCAAATTTTGAAAAGAAGTAAAAAGAACATAAGAGTTGCATTTTCTTTTGTACTATGAATAATTGAGTTAAGATGCACACAGGAAGTTCAAAGAACCAAAAAGCAGCACACAGAGGTTTGCTCTCCAAAATTCCGAGGTACATCATAACTCAATGATACACAGCTAAATGCAGGAAATGAGTATGTTTGATAGGATTATGATGCACGGTTCTGTATACTGAGTATCAGTGCAGCTTTGTCAGTTGTTTGCTGCTGGGGTTTGTTATATAGCTGGAGTTTAGTTGAATGTAACAAGCACTTTTATTTGTTGATCAAAGGTGACATGTAAATCACTACATCTAAATGTCACCCAACAGGTGACAATTTAACAATTATTGTTGCCTGCTTTACTGCTGGCCAGAGGTAACTTTACTTGAGGGCAATATTCTCCTCGCCTTGTTACTCTACACTGAACTCCAGCTATATAACAAAGTACTTAGCTGCTGGTCCCTTGAGAACCAGTTGGTTTTCCCTCATATCTTGATGTTCCCCTTGACTTTGTTTTGGAAAACACTGAGATTCTTGAGAAAACATAACCAAGTTCTAACTGTTTTCCTCCAGACCAGTCATTAAGTGTGTAATAACATTAACATTAAAAAATAAATACTAATTTTGTCCAGGATCATAATTATTTATTTTACATACAGAACTTAAGATTCAGCATTATCACACTGCTTAAGTCATCTACAATTACCTGAAACAATGCAAAAACTTTGAACATTAAAAATTCAATGTACAAGAAATGTAATTCCACAGGTTGGGCAATTTGAATCGTTCTTACTACTACCTTCTCTTGTGTTCTGAAAACTGAGAACAAAATGTATGTTACTGTGTTTACTCTAAGTGCAAGTGCATGTATTCAGACTGTTCTTCCTGGTTTGAAACGAGTCAAAAATAAATCTACATACATGTACATCTGCCTTATTCACCTGCCTTCAAGAAATATAACACTGATATTGATCTGCAGTTTAATAATGTATGATGCTCCTCATAATCAAAATGGTAAGTTGCTACGAAATGAAAAACATTAATGCAATTTTAAACAATAAATTTTCAATTTTACAATGTGTGTATATGTAACATTGTGACCCAAAAAAGTAATCTCTGAAACTTTCTGACACTGAAAAATGGCCATTCCATGCTACTTTGTAACTAAGGAAATC